TTTTTTTTAGTACAACATGTTGGGGGATTCAAACTCACAACCTCATGATTGTAGGTATATGCCAATTACCGTTGAGCTATGCCCGTTTTGGCATCTAAAATCAGGTTTTATTGTCTTTTCTAGTAGAGAATTTTTGTAGTTTTAGGTTTTTTTTTCCTTCTGAAATAGAAGAGTGAGAGATATGAGGTGGTAGGGGTGAGCAATTACAACTGAAATATCGATCCGACCAACCTAAACCGACGGAAACGACGTTGGTCGGTCGGTGGTCGATTTTTAAAATTCAAAACCAAATAGTCGGTCTCACTAAACTCATGAAAACTGACCGACCGACCGACTTTTTAATATTAAAAAAAATTATATAATATATATATATATTGTTGTACCAGCTGCATGGGGATTTTACCTTTTCCTTCATCTTTTGTCTGCGACGCGTGATGCACACGTAGCCCCTTCTTTCAATCTCTCATCTCATCCTTCTGTCTCTCACTCATATCTAATCTCTCTCATAATCTCATCCTTTTAATTGTGGCTTCGTGTTCATGGCAAAAATCCCATGGCTTCGTGCGTAGTGTCCCTTCATCTTGCTTGTGGCTTTGTGTTCATGGTCAAATCGAATCCACTTAATTCTCCTCCGCCTTTGTTCACGTTCGTAGTGTGGCGTGGTGTGGCTCATGAGTCAATTTCAAGATCCATCACTGTTCTTGTGCCTTCGATTTTGAGATCCAGCACCGTTTTTTGGCCTTCGATGGTAGATCTATCAYTGTTTTTCTTATTCCTTCTAATTTTTTTATTTGAATTCGAACCAAGTAATAAAATAATGAAAAAAAATTCGATTTTGATGGAAACCGATCGACCGAATTGATCGATCGGTCGGTCCTTTGAATTGGAAACCAACCAATGTTGTTGAGAATGACAATTAAATTGGAACAATTCAAGGAAATGTGGATGGCTTAGCATATGTTGTGGAAGTCAAAGTGGCCAAGGCACATGGATGACCAAAACTTTTTGCGGTTTTTTTATTTTTTAAATTCAAAATCTATTTTGGGTCACTCCCTTAGTATAAATATGAGTCATTTCCTTACAAATCATTCATCCCAATTCATCTCATCTCTYATATGCTATCCCTCAATCACATTGTTTTCCATCTTTCCACTACCTTAAACTAAACTCGAGATTGATTTCACTCCCATTYTTACGAGTGCACGTCTGAGTTGGAGGTTGTGTTAACCTTGGGGAGCATACCAGCAGTAAAACGATTTAGTACCAAGGTCGTGTCGATTTTGCTTTCAAGGYTGTGGTTCCCCCCACGACACAATGTTTTTAGCTCCCAGTTCAATTTTGGCATTTATTTCCCAACAATTTGAAAGCAAAACTCCCATCTACCCATGCTTGCTATCCGATCTAGGAAGGTCTTACCGGACATGGTCAAAATTGGAATCACTTGACGGATCCAACTACCGCGGTGGTCACAGAAGTTACTAATTTTCTTTGAGCAGTTGGAGATCGACTACATCCTCAATGCTGCTCAGCCCGCTGCCACTACCACCGCTGCAGCCACTACCACCGCCGCTGCTACCGCTTGCGCCACTGCAGTCGTCACTAATCCGCCTGTCGTTGCCGCTGCCACCATTTCAATCGTCGCTGCTGATCCYGAGACGTCTACTGCCACTATCGTTGAAATTGACAAATTCGAGAAAGACAACTAAACAATCCGTGGGCATCTTCTCAACCATATGAATGACTCTCTTTTTTATCTCTTTGTAGTCCAAAAATCTGCAAAGGTCATTTGAGACATGTTAGAGTCTAGATATGGCGGGGACGATGCAGGCAGGAGAAAGTACGTCGCYGGTAAATGRCTACAATTTCAAATGTCGGACGATAAACCGTTGATGGATCAGGTTCATGAGTACGAGAACCTAGTGGCAAGTGTGTTGTTTGAAGGCATGAAGATGTGCGAGATTCTTCAGGCCAATGTGTTGCTCGAGAAATTTYCTCCTTCCTGGAATGACTATCGCAACCACCTGGAACATAAGAAGAAGGACTTGACTCTACAAGAGCTGATYAGTCATGTGCTCACGGAGGAAGCCAATAGGCTAAAGGATAAGCTCTCTTCTCAATCCTTAAATTCAGTTAAAGTTAATTTAGTTGAATCTTCTAGTGCTTCCAAAGATAGGTTCAAAAGAAAGGGGAAGCCAATTGCAAGGGATAGAGCTCAAAAGAACAAAGGTCTCCGACCCAAAAATATTGGTGGAAGAATGGAGAAATSAAAACTGGTATGCTATGTCTGTGAAAAACCTGGGCACAAATCCTATCAGTGCACCCAGAAGAAAGATAGGAAAGATCAAAGGATTGCTCCACAAGCCAACATTGTAGAGACTGRYAATATCATTGCTRCTGTAGTTGTGGAAGCAAATTTGGTAGAGAACAAATCTAACTGGATTCTTGACACGGGAGCGTCCAGACATTTCTGCCTGAATCGTGACCTCTTCCACGACTTTCAGGACTCCGCTAATGGTGAATGTGTTTTCATGGGGAACCGGCCACAACTGGAGTAYTTGGGAAAGGGAAGGTTCTCTTGAAATTCATATCTGGAAAAACTTAATCATTAAGAAATGTGTTGTATGTTCCTTCCYTGCATAGGAATTTGGTGTCAGGAGGTCTATTGAACCGAGCCGGACTTAGGATTGTGTTTGGGGCCGACAAGGTTATCATTACAAAAAATGGTGACTTTGTTGGTAAGAGCTATCTTGCAGATGGTTTGTTTGTTCCCAACAYTACTTCTTCAAAAGAAATTAATTCTAGTTCTAGTTACATTGTTGACTCTATTGATGTGTGGCATGGTAGATCAGTGCATGTGAATATTGTATCGATTAAAAGGCTTAGAACTTTAAATTTAATTAATGCTTCTAATTTGCCTAAAACTGCAAAGTGTCTTATTTGTGTAGAAGCAAAGTTTGCTAAAAAACCTTTTAAACCTGTCACTGCAAGGTGTACCGAACTCCTAGAATTAATTCATTCTGATTTAGCTGATTTCAAAAACACAACTAGGAGAGGTGGAAAAAATTACTATATTTCTTTTGTTGATGATTTTTCTAGATATACGAAAATATATCTTCTGAAATCTAAAGATGAAGCTAGTAGTATGTTTTTAAAATTCAAAGMTGAGGTATAAAATCAGTTAGACAGAAAKATAAAAAGGATAAGATCAGATAGGGGTGGTGAATATAGTGATAATTCGCTTAGAGTTTTTTGTAAATCAAGTGGGATTATACATGAATTTACTGCTTCATATTCACCTCAACAGAATGGAATAGCTTATCGGAAAAATAGAACTTTAAAAGAGATGATAAATGTTATGCTATTRAGTTCTGGTCTATCTAATGATATATGGGGTAAACTGCAATTTCTACCTGTTTTATTCTTAACAGGGTCCCTCACAAAAAGCTAGATAAGACACCATACGAGCTATAGAAGGGGAATACGCCAAACCTGAGCTACTTGAAGGTGTGGGGGTGGCTTGGCAAAGGTGGAATATCCAGTATTCAGAAAACCGACGATTGGATCTAAAACTTTTAATCGTGTTTTCATTGGTTATGCTCAAAATAGTGTTGCATATAGGTTCATGAGCTTGAATGATAAATAAATATGTGAATATAGAGATGCAATATTTTTTGAAAATATCTTCCTTATGATTAGAACTGGTGGTGAATCTAGTGGTATTTCAAAAACTGCATGTATGTCATCGCCCTCCACTTCTCTTGATATGATAGACCTTGAACCTAGATCCAATAATGCAATAGATTCTGAAACTAGGAGAAGTAAAAAGCAAAAAGTTAGTAAAAGCTTCAGACATGACTTCCTAMCTTTCTATCTAGTAGAAAACTTTGACAAGATAGATTATCGATTTGCTTGCATGTATTTGATAGATGAAGATCCTACAACCTACCAAGAAGCTATAAATGCCTTAGATTCTAGCGTATTGAAAGAAGCTATTAAAAGTGAACTTCCGTAGTTATGAATCAAACTTGAGAATTGGTAGAATTACCTGCAGGAAATAAACCTATTAGGTGTAAATGGATCTTTAAAAGAAAAATGAGACCAGATGGCACGACAGAAAAGTACAAAGCTAGACTAGTGGTTGTAGGTTACACACAAAAGTATGACATTGATTACTTCGATACGTACTCTTCTGTAACAAGATTGCTACAATTAGATCTTTGATAGCATTGGCTACTATTCGAAGGTTATTAATGTATCAGATGGATGTAAAAACAACTTTTCTTAATTGTGATTTCRAAGAGGAGATCTACATGATACAACCTGAAAGTTTTCTATCTATTGGTCAAGAAAATAAAGTATGCAAGCTTAAAAAATCTCTTTATGGCCTAAAACAAGCTCCTAAACAATGGTATGAAAAATTTAATGGCACTTTGGTAAACAATGGTTATAAAGTAAATTGCTTTGATACATGTGTTTACTCAAAATTGTTTGGAGCTGATTGTGTGATAATATGCTTGTATGTTGATGCATGCTCATTTTTTGTTCAAACTTATATATCATTAATGAGACCAAATTGCTCATTTCTTCACATTTTGAAATGAAAGATTTAGGAGAGACTGATGTAATACTTGATGTAAAAATAAGGAAAAATGATAATGGGTATTCCTTATGTCAATCACACTACATTGAGAGAATGCTGAAAAAATTTGATCACTTTGATAAACTACCTGTAAGAACACCTTATGATACTAGCATGAGTCTTAAAAGGAATCAGGACGATAGTGTATCTCCATTCGAATATGCAAAGATTATAGGTAGTGTCATGTTTTTAATGAATTACACTAGTCATGATATTGCATATGCGATAAGCAGACTGAGTAGATACACTTATAACCCTGGTAAAGATCATTGGACTGCTCTATATCGGTTTTTAAGGTATCTTAGGGGTACAATGGACTATTGTTTGCATTTTAACAAATTTCTGCTGTGCTAGAAGGATATTGTGATGTAAACTGGATTACAGATAATAATGAAGTGAGCTCCACTCGTTGATATGTGTTWACTTTTGGCGGTTGAGCTATCTCATGAAAATCGGCAAAATAGACCTGCATTGCTCGATCTACCATGGAATCTGAGTTCATAGCACTTGAACTAGCAGGTCAAGAGGCTGAATGACTGAGAAGCCTTATTGGAGACGTGCCATTGTGGGGAAAAYGTGTACCTATATCCATACACTGTGACTCACAGGCTGCCATGGGAATTGCCAAAAACAGTATGTATAATGGCAAGAGACACCATATACGTCTAAGATATGGAGCTGTGAAGCAGTTGCTAAAAGATGGAATTATATTCTTGGAGTATGTGAGGTCCGAGAGGAACTTGACAGATCCTCTCACCAAAGGCCAAACAAGAAGAGTAATTCTGGGGTCCTCATAATGTATGTGACTCAAGCCATGATGTTCAATCCATAACGTTTCTTTTGGATGGTCCATGTATGGACTTGCTGGACGTAATGAAACAAATGTGAATCCATATCCCTTCTTTGGGTGGTCTATGAATGGACTTGATGGATACGGTGAAACATGTGAATCTATAGCTCTTTTTGGGTGGTCCATGTGTGAACTTGATRGATAATGTTCAAAATCTTCATAGTTCAATTTTTTAGAGGTAATTTACTTTCCCAATGATGGTTAAAATTTTATTTTTTTCCTTTTAAATTATAGATAATTCTTCGTGAAAAAATATTCATCGTAATTTTTAGAGAGAGAAAAAAAACAACTCATAATATTGCAAAGCCCAAATAGAAGCCTAATCATTAAGGAATTGTCAAATGTAAGGGCTCAAATGCAAGTCCAATCGTTCTAACAGATACACATGTCAGCTAGTCCCTAACACTTGTGGAGAAAAAAAAAACAGAATATGTGAAATTATAAAGCTCAAATTCAAGTCCAATCCAGAGAGCATTCACAACTTGAAATTTAATTCTAAGAGCAATGACTTTTGAAAGAGTATGATACTTTTTAAAAACAATTGGAGAAAATTAGTTTTTAAACTATTTAGCATAATGTTATCAACACAGGACTAAATCTCAATTACGTTTTATTATTTATTAGTAAAGAAGAGTAGTGAAAAAAATCGAATTGATGCAATTTCAATGGCTTGATAGAAACGATAAATATTTTGAACAAAATATTCAATATATCAACACAGAGAATTTAGAGTTGTTCRATCTATTAAGATCTACTCACTTATACGGATGAAATCCTTGCGAATCAATATTATTAAGGATCAAACAATTATAATTGATGCAATAAACAAAATGTAAATGACAGAAAATGAAATAAGTACGAAAAAAGTAGAATTAAAGAGAATTAAGGAGCAATACAACCTTCAGAGTCTCAATCTTTGAACTAGTCGGAATGCTCATTTAACAGAGGCACGACCATACAATTCCAAGACTCACACAGACAGATCAGGGGTATTTTATTAGAGAAGTAATCAAATTTGTGAACCAGTCTCGTTCTTCTCCCACAAAATTGCCTAGAAACCACATCGTCACAACAATAACACCTAGGATCTTGAATACTCATGGATTGCAATGTTAGATAATATTATTTGAATTATAATTAGATTTGAATTAGATTTAGTTTAGATTATATTATTTCAATTAAATTTCCTGTTCCTATTATGATTATGAATTATAGTATTATAAATAGGTCATTAGCTTCGTATCAAGCAATTAAATTCAATGAAATCCTATTGATCATTCTCCCTATTTTCTGTTAGGAATCCTATTAGATTTTTTTATTAGGAACACTTATGTATGCAAGGGCAAAGGGGGTATTTCCCTTTCTTCTGACAGTTAGGACGTTTGACCTTAGGGAAGGCCTTGTCTTTTGCCTTTTGTGAGTTGGTCCTAGGTTGTGGGGGAATATATGTTTTGTGGCGGCAGAGGTTAGGGTATGCTTTATTTTGTATTTAAAGAATAGGACTGTTGTGGAGAGTGCAACCCTCTCGAAAGGTTACTTGTTCTKGAGTTATCCTATCTATTTGAATATYTCTAAGTGAGGCAGTTTCCTCACAAATTGGTATCAGAGCACGTTCAACTTGGGAAGGAGTACCAATAACGAACAAGAAACAACTAGAGGAAAGGTGTGAATCAACCAAGAAGGAGGTGAGTGGGATAAAGAAGGTCCTACGGTGCATTAGTTCCCAGCTTGAGGAATAGCGTAAGAGAAGTGAGGCACAGATGGAGGATGAGCGTTGTAAGAATAAGGAGACACATAAAAAGTTGGAAGGATTTATGATGGAGGTATCTCAAGGGAAGAGCTTGCGAGCATCTGCGGTTGGCAATGAGAACTCAACCATGAAAAGGAAGAAACTTAAGAGTGACATTGAGCGACAAGAAGAGTCATCACTTGGAAGGATGAGGAACCTGGACTTGACTGTAGCAAGTTTAAAAAGGTGGAAATGCCCATACTCACAGGGGATGACCCTGATTCTTGGTTATTTAGAGCAGAGAGATATTTCGAGATACACCACTTGAGCGACGAGAAAAAATGACGGTAACGATCATTAGCTTGTAGGGCGCCGTCCTTAAGTAGTACCGATGGGCGGAGAATCAGCAGCAGTTTGTAGATTGGAACGACCTAAAAACTAGGATTTTTGAGCGGTTTAGCGAGTCCAGGGATAGAAACCTCCTTTCCCGCTTTCTGTCCATTCGATAGGAAGGTACGGTTACTGAGTTCTGCCAGACGTTTGAAGCATGGTCAACGTCATTACCCAATATAGCCGACGACATTGTGGAGAGCACATTCATCAATGGGCTGGACTCAAATATTAGAGTGGAACTCCTACTATGGGAACCTGTGTGCCTCGAATGAATTATGAAGAAGACCCAACTTATTGAAGATAGAAATGTCTCAGTCCACTCCCCAAGGGACACTAGCCCCAACCGCAGACCCAAGGCATTGCCTAATACGCCAAAAACACCTCCCAAGGCAACARAGCCCTTGACAATCCGCACAGTTACCCTTTTGGGTAGGTYGTATCCTACTACCCCACCCCTACGRAAATAACTGTTCCAAAAAAAACTAACTAAAACGGAGTATAGCAATGCAAGGACAAAGGGCTCTATTTTTTATACGAGGAAAAATATAGCATTAGTAACAACTGCAAAAGTCAGGAGTTCAAGGTATTTGTGGTGCACGATGACGAAGGGATGGATATTGACCAAGAAGAGATGAGCATGGAAACAAAAGAAAACGAAGCACCAGGTGTAGAAGAGGTTGTAAAGGTGGCCTTAAACACGGTGGTGCCTTAAACACGGTGGTGGGTTTTTTAACTCCAGGCACCATGAAGTTGAAAGGGTTGATCGATGACAGAAAGGTGGTAATCCTTATTGATTGTACGGCTACCCACAACTTCATCTCATAAAAACTTAGTAGATTCCCTCAACCTCCCTCTACATGAGACCTMTAACTACAAGAGAGTTATGAGCTGAAAAGGGATATGCAAGGGAGTTGTCCTTTGTCTCCCAGACTTAAAGAGAATTTTCTCCCCTTAGAGCTCGGCAACCTAGACGTGGTACTTGGAATGTAGGGATCGAATCCGCCAGCGGAAGCACGTGAATGCGTGTGCTTTGATCTTGTTTTGGAAATACAACAAAGAAAAGACATAAGCATGATTAAAAGGAAGTTAGTGAAATATACCTTTAAAGACATTTCTTCAATGTAGACACCAAAGCCACCAAAAGACCTTCCTCGCTATCCTCTGGATGTTAAGAACTTGGTTTGTGGGAACCGTCTAACGATTGAGAGGAAGATCGAGAGATCGAGAGAGAGATTTTCTCRYTGGAATTTCAGAAACTCAATAAACCAACGACCAGGGAACCAGAGAGGAAGAACCTCCATTTTATAAGGGATGAAGAGTGAAGAGGAAGTCATCACTTCTCCACTTACCATTTTCYCACTTCCCACTATTAATGGTGGGAAATGAGAGCTCCCACTTTCC